CCTGGAGCTGCCCTCTCTGATGGCTCTTGCCTTGTTTGTACCATTTTAGCCTGGGAGATTGAAGTATGCCATGAGAAGCTCACTGGGATGAGAATATTGATTGTGTGGGCACATGACACAGTAGCTTCACATTACAGTTTAAGACACAGAAGATCGTCTACCTCCAGACCGGGTTTCTAAGGGAAGAGAATAGCTAAGGCAAGCATGACCTTCCTAACCAGGTTGTTAACAATCTGTCTCTCCAGAAGACTCTTCACAAATACTGCGAAGAGAGCCAAGCATGTCCCTCCTGCTAGTACAGCCTCTGCTCACTCTCACATGACAGCTGTGCGGGAGCATGTGCTTCATACTTCAGAATGGATTAGAGTAGATTTTTCCACTAGGCACATGCAAAAATGTTATTGATGATGGTTAAGTGAAAAAATTTTAAGACCTGATTTAAGCATGCAACTAAAAGGGGCACACCAGATTTCTTCTGACCTACGTTTATAGGCTGGAGATGTGCTGCTGAGGTAGAATGTCCATGTATACATCCCAAGATTTTAGGTCCACCTGCAGGGTTCAAATCTGTATGACTAGTTCCTGAGATGGGAAAGGATCTGCTAAGTCATTTTACACATTTCCCATAAATAGTGCATCTTCATGCAGAAGTGCAGTTCGCCCTTTTCCTTCTATACAAGGTTATCTTAGAAAGTGTCCCAAAAAAGCAAAACTGCATTTGACAGAGGCCCAGACCATTCTGTCCTGCACTGCTTTCTAATAGGGAAGGTCCCTCATAATCAGCGGGTGCTGATACATGCTGAAGATTTCACACTAACATGTGCATTGTCTGTTAAGTGCGATTTTAAAGTGTCTCTAAAATCTCTTCTGCATGGAAATTCACACATCCTGAGTAGTGGGAACATGGAAGGAGATATTTCCTTGCTATGGGCCGTTTGGTACATACCATATATGTGAATCTAAGTTCCCATTCTAAGAATAGAAATCCTCTCATTGATCTAGAAAAGCCTCATTAATAAAACAGTCAAAATTTTTATACACAGTACTTTCTTGTCACAGACTCTTTTGTGTGGTATTATACTTACCCTCTCAATGCTACTTTCTGTCCTAAGGTTGACTCGTCAGTCTTTCTTAAGAATGGTGGTGCAGTAAGGAGGGAGCCTACTATGAGCAAGCAGCATCCTCAAGTCTTTGCCAGGAGGAGTATGGTACGGCAGGGATTTCTTCCTACTTGGTCTTGGGTTTGCTTGGGTTTATTTTCATCTATTTCCTTATCACAGTCTGCTTCCCTTTCCTGGTTCCCACCTGAAGTTTAAAAGGTGCAGAGTAGCTTCCCCTGCCTCAGTTACCACAAAAGGTAATTCTTTATTATGCAGTGACTGCCAAGGCTGGTCAGACCTTTGTCGTATATGGTATTCACCAAGCTTAACCTAAAACAGGTTAGGTAATAGCTGCTTGACTACTACAACCGTTATTAAAACAACCTAAAACCACTTCAGGCCCAGGCAAGTCCTGGGACCGTGCACTGTCAGTTCAATACATACCCTCAAGCCTTTTGCTATTAATGGAAAAAAATCGTATTTGCTGCTCTGCAGTAAGGGAGATTTCAAGGAACTGAAGCATCTCAGGATGGTCAGGTGTTCAGAAGGAGGAGCAAAAAGAAGATAAACTGTCATCAAAGACAGTATCCGAAAACAGAGTCAGGCTGGTCTCTGTCATGGACCACGAGTGCAGAGACTAAAATGGAGTGAAAGAAATCTGAAGCCTACTAGGGAACCATGGGAAGCCTTCTGACATGTCACGGGAAGGAAGAGCTAGGCTGGCATCACTGCTAGATGTTAGCTGGAATTATTCAGCTCTTTGTGGCTGAAAAACTGATCAGATCCAAAAAAGCTCACTCTCGTCCCTCTTTCAGATAGCGATGACGGAGATGTCTGGGCTTTCTGCTTTCTCATCCTCACTACTGAGAGCAGGACAACCTCAATATTACTGGTGTGTTGGTGAGTTTGTGTGTTGGAGACAGATAACTGAAGACTCATTTTGATAATTCCGTCTTAGCCATACAGACACGGAGCTGTGGGCTGGAAGTTTCCAGCAGAGTGAGCAAAGCTCACGGGAAGCTCACTTTGCCCTTTGGAAGCAAAGCCCATGCTATGACAGTGGTTTTGGCACACAGTGGCTGAGGGACCACTGTCAACCCTCAGCACTTCCCAGGAAACCTCAAGAGCTCCAATGGCAGGCTCTCCTTTGAAAGCTTTGTAGGTGAAGAGAGCCAAAGTTTTTGGAGACCACTGACCTCGGGCCTGGGCACAGCCATGGTCTGCATGCCGTGCCTGACCAAGCAGGCGATAGTCAGCTTCCCCTGCATTGCTCTCTGCTTGACAATGCAGCTCCAAGGCAACCCCAGTCATAGCTAGAGGTCAAGTTTTCTTTTAATTTTCCTTTTAGGCAAGACCTAAACCAGGCATGAGGCACCCAGAGAGCAAGTTATGGAGAGCATAGACTGCAAACTCATGAGAGCAGCCCAGAAGCCTCCGTATCCCTCCCAAACCATATGCTCATCCCTCTGCCCCTGACTGGCAGCCTCATCTTCCACCCCAAAACAAACTTGGAGCAGAGGATGCCCTCCCATCCCCCAAATGGATTTGTGCTCTGCTGGCAGTAGGTAGGCTTGTAAGAAAAGAGAAACCAAGCATGCTGTAACCCTCAAGTGCTCTGTGAACTTCTGTCTTTCTATACAGCTCTGAGCCTTTGCACCGTGGATAGGGTTTCTGTGCAGCTGGTAAATTCCGGCAGATTTCTTCTCCATGAACATGACCAAGTTTCTTTTGACTCCATGCAAGCCTTCCGCTTGCAGTGACAAGGAGTTCCACAGCTTAACTGCATACTTTGTGAAGTACCCACACATCTTTGTGGTTTTGAATACCTTGCCTTCAGGTAGTTTCATTCGATTTACACACACACACACGCACACACGCACACGCACGCACATGGCCATCCGCCTTCCACCTTCTGCACTCTCCTGTTTCTTTTCATGCCAGAGCCAGTTAGAAGATTGATCCCTGTCAAGCCTCTCCACACTGTGCTGATTTTATAATTCTGTCTTGTATGCCCACTCAGTTCTCTCTCCTTTCCTCTCTTAAGTCTCTGAGTTTGTTTAATTGGTCCTCCTATGGAAGCCCCTCCATGCGTCTGATCAACTTGATTGCCTTTGGAATCAGAACTCCTTGCAAATTCAGTTTGTCTCTTCTTATTTTCTCTTTCACTACCACTGCTGAGAAATGAGTGGGTATTTTCACACCGATATGCAGCACATGTGGAAGACCTTGCTCCTGATGGGTTATTGTCAGCTCAGAGTCCATCTTTTTATATGTGACACTGCATTATGTTTCCCCACGCAGATAGTTTTGTGGTTTTGACAGCACTGAACTTTGTATGCTATTTAATGGCACTGTGTGCTCAGTGTCATGAAAGCCTTCTGTGTTTCTTAGGTATCAGTCATTGTCCTTACTGCCTGGCATAGCGTTCTTTCACTGGGAAACATGATGTTTCTTCCTGTTGAACACCTCTTCAGCTTGCTTTATCAATAGCTTGAACAACACACGCCCCAGCACAAATAGCTTTTTTCCTTCATTCTGTGTCTTTGAGGATTATTTATCTGAGTGAGAAGCTTCCACCTTAGCCCATGCTTCAGCACTTCTCTAAAAGCCTTTGTTGAGATACCTTGCTGAAAGGTTCTGGAAATCCCAGTCAATTAGATCAGCTGGATCTGCCTGTCCGCATGCCCATTTCAAAAAACCTTTCAAAGGTTTCTGCGTTGATTCACGTATAAGGCTGACTTGAGTTTTATGGAATACGCCCTTTGGAAGGACACAAGCTACCTGTCCTCCGTCGCCCATACCAGTTCTTTTCCAGGAGGTGTTACGTGTGCTGGCTTGGTCCAGTGCTCATTGGGAGTTCAGAAGCCGTGGCTGTGACAGTGAGCTCCAGCCCTTTGAGCTCTGCCCCAACAGGTAGTGATTGAGACTGAACATGATGGCTTTTTACCCCTGCTCTCAAGTCTTCAGTGTCAGTTCCTGTGGAGCTCTGCTCTGGCCAAAATCAAGGTGCCATTTGTCTGCCCAGCTTCCTTGTTACTTTTTCTGCACACTGAATGGAAAATCAGTAGGCTAGACTGGAAATGCCAGCTACTACTGAACACCGCTGTCTTTCCCTTCCGCCGATGGGCTACTGCAGCTGCGTCTTCTCTGCTCACTGTCTGCTCTGACCTCTCTTGCCATAGGCTAGGGGGAGAAGCTCCTGGTTGAGGCCTTGAGTTTCTAATGCCACTAAGGAAAGCACCACGTTGAACAGCTGGGCTGTCTCATCCGGAAAGAACGTTTCCCCCAGGCAGGGTACCGCTTCAGAGGGTAGCGTGCCAGAGAGTCAGCTTTTGTGGACACTGCTCTGATTTACAGGAATTAAAGAAATCGTCACGGAACTGTCACCAGCCTTCTCCAGTTTTAGCCCAAGGGGAGGAGATGCTCTACATGGTCCCCCTATCTAATGAAATTCATGAAACAAACATAGTGGAGTATGTATGGGTAAATATAACATAAGATGTTGTATGGGACAGAACAGTAGGAAGGACGCAGTGGCAGCAGTCATTGGCAGGAATGATTGTCCTTGATTTCTCCTCATGTGAAGTTACATTTTTATTCGTGGCACAGATACTAAGCAAGAAAGAAGGGATAAGTAGTCAGGAACTAGGTGACAAAAAGCTGTACCGTGACACAGGTACACAAAAGTTAGAAGTCAAAGCTGCGCCCAAAAGCTAATGATGATATAGACCTAACCAGTAAAAAGACAAACAAATGAAAACTGGTGTTCATGGTCTGTATGCAAAGGATTCTACGGTCTTTATTCACTACACACTATTACAAAGGCTCATTGCAGAAGAAAGTGACCGAGAGGTTCACATTTTTGCAGCCCTCAGGTCACTTTGCTGCCTCATGACATCCTCACTCTTCCTCTTCTATCTTCTTGCCGTGAAACTCCCGGCTTTTGACTCGGAGCTTGTTGACCTGCGACTCTGCAATGTCAGCCCGCTCCTCGGCTTCCTCCAGCTCATGCTGGATCTTGCGGAACTTGGAGAGGTTGACATTGGACAGCTCCTCCTGTGTGGGGAGAGGGTGGTGAGGAGCCCAGGGCAGGGGTTTCACTCCTCCTGCGCCTCGGCCTTGCGGGGCTGTGGCTCTTCCCTGGGGGAAGGCACAAACCTCCATCCCCCACCCACCACTGCTTACACATAAGCCTCACACAGACCTCCCATCTTCCCTCATTCAGGACTCCACTGTGAAGAGCTTCCCCAGTAGCGTGACACTCTTGAGGAGCTATTTTGTCACTGGGATTTGTCATTGGTGTACTTAGTCTCCCACTACTTGCTGCCCAGCTATCAGTGTAACTTATTAGGTTGAGAAAGACCCTGAAGCCTTCTGCTGTAGATTAGTGAGATTCATGAACTTCTCAGTCAGTGGATGTGGCCCCCGAGTTTCTTTAGTCTCCCCTCCTGTATAAAACAGGCTGCAGACCTTCCCTCAGTTCATCCCCGACAGCTGCTCAAGGAGCGTGCTGCCCCAATGGAAGGTGGCTCTTGCCCATTCTCCAAGCAATACTTACAGCCTCCTCAGCTTGTCTCTTGTAGGATTTCACCTTCATTTGCAGCTTGTCCACCAGATCCTGGAGCCTGAGAATATTCTTCCGGTCTTCCTCGGACTAGAGTGGTTGGTAAGGAGGAAAAAGAGTGAATTGCTTTCCCTGACATGTGAGTTAGCAATTGCCCTTGGCGATCAAGTGCAAAAATTTTTACTTCCTGCAAGAGGGTGTGTCAGCCCGCAGAGGCCTCCTGCCTTACCTGGTAGGTCAGCTCCTTCACCCTTCTCTCGTACTTGCGCACACCCTTCACGGCTTCAGCGCTGCGCTTCTGCTCAGCATCAACCTCCCCTTCCAGCTCCCGCACCTGCAATGAGAAGCCCATCTTTGGAGCTTCCCTGGTATCTCTCCAAGGGACACGCTCACTCATGCACAAGTATCAGCCCTACGCACTCTGGCCTCCAGCTTCTGGATTTGCTTCTTGCCTCCCTTCAGTGCCAACTGCTCAGCCTCATCCAGACGGTGCTGCAGGTCCTTCACGGTCTGGTCCAGGTTCTTCTTCATCCTCTCCAGGTGGGCGCTGGTGTCCTGCTCCTTCTTCAGCTCTTCTGCCATCATGGCTGCCTGATGAGAGCAAAGGGTCAAAGCCATTTTGGGGCTGCAGACAGTTTGCAGAGAAGGTACTTATCTCCAGCAGTGAAAGGAGCCCCCAACTCACATCTGTGATGGCCTTCTTGGCCTTCTCTTCAGCATTGCGGGCTTCCTGGAGCGTCTCCTCCATCTCACCCTGAATTTGCATGATGTCTGTTTCCAGCTTCTTCTTGGTGTTGATCAAGCTGGTGTTCTGTGCAACCGGAAAGACATGATTTTTACCGTTAGACCTAATGCCTCCAGACAAGAGCTAAAAGTGTGAGTATTGTTTATGAAAGTCTTTAATGCAAGAGTCCTCTTTAGAGCCATAGCAGGAAACCAGACATGGGTGGCTGGCTAGATTGGCCCTATCACAGCATGGCTGTTCAAGTGTTTGCATAGTAATCACTTACAAGATGCATAGCAATCGCATTCTGTGTTATCCCTTCTTGACAGGATTAATTTCCAGCAGAGCGCCTGACCTGGGTATGGAGGAGCTGCACACGTTCAGTG